TCTTTGCCTGCCTCTTGCTGGTCGCGGCACCCGGCTGCGGAACTCCCGCTGCGTCCGTGTATCCCTTCCTCACTCCCATGAAAGTCGTGTAGGCCAGGTAGGCCGAGTAGATGGGGACGATGCTCCACAGCCACCACGCGCGGTCGCCAAAGGTGGCTGCAGCAAGGAGACAGCCATAGGTCCAATAGGTGACATCCCACATGTACTCGGTCAGCCCCTTAGCCTCCAGGTCCTCGCCCGAGCGCTTTACGGCCCCATCGGCGTTGTACGTGGGGCGCCCAAGGCGTTCGAATTGGAAGTTGAGAAACAGCTGAGGCCCACTGAATAGAATGTATAGCAGAGCGGACTTTCGAGTAAAGGACGAGCGGAATATGAGGCCTCTCAGAAACCAGAACAGGCCGTGGAGGGCGATGGTAGCTGTCAGAGTCTGGTTGAGGCGGGCGGTATTGCGGGCAGCTAGGGTTTTGGCGGCTTTCTGGGATGTGTTAGTGAATTTGAGATTAGGAGTTTGCAATGATCGATCTGACCTGCGCCATGGTGGACCGCGGTGAGCTTCTGACAGGCTGGTGGGATGGTTTGTGGTTTTTGTTGCGGAGGGTGAATGATGAAAGATGTGTGGCTGCTGTCCCCTGCAGCTGATCGGACTGGTCTGTGCGCGTTCTCGCGCTTCACAACATCACTGTAGGCGCGGGTCCCTGTGCCTTGTCTACTTCACTTCACTCCTCTCTCAGCGCGCTTGCACTGCTTCCAGAGCTTGTGCCCGAACTATAACTCACTTCCGCAGTGACTGAAGTGAGAATCGCTGCCAACGCTCCTCTATGACGCGGGGTCTTGCCAATTAGCTTTGTCGAGGCCCTCCATACAGCAACCACAGCAACCGCCACAACAACAATCACCGAAACCGTCACTATACACACACCACGCACACCGACCCCCTTCACTAGACCCGCCAACCGCCTTCATGCCTGCACAGCGCGTCTCCTTTCCCTCCCAGTCCCGACGCGCGCTCGCTCAGCGGGGTGTCGCCTGCTGAGTTTTGAACCTTCGATCTTGCCGTTGCACCCACCACTTCTCCGGCCTCACCACGGCCACGCACAACATGACGCCTCCGCCTAGGATGGCGAGTCCTCCGCCTGGAGTCCCAGTGCAACTGCGGCAACTCATCTACTACCACCTCGACAACGGCTTTCTGGACAACGCTCTATTCCTCGCCGGTCGCCTCCATGCGCTTGATCCGAAGAACCCGGACTTTACACACCTTCTCGCCCTCTGCAACCTGCGTTTAGGGAGATACAAGGCGGCGTCTGACTACGCCAAGCAGAACCCCCACAATCCGCAACATCTTGGGTGTGCCTACGTCTATGCGCAAGCATCGTTAGCACTGGGATGGTACCAGGCCGGAGCGCATGCTCTCGAAAGGGTACGAGGACAGTGGGCAGGGCGGAATCACTGGAGTGGGTACTGTGTCTTTGTTTGGCAGGACCGTGACTGATTTCACCTTCCAGACAAACACTCCGAGACGTCGCGACGACATATTCCAGATGCGGCAGCCTGCTACTGCCTGCTCGGCAAGCTATGGAATGCCCACGGCGACACGAAGAAGGCCGTCGAGTACTATATCGAAGCGCTGAAGCTAAATCCCTTCATGTGGGATGCGTTTACGGATCTCTGCGAGATAGGCACACTGGTGCGGCCTACCAATATATTCAAGGTCACGCCGGAAATGCTGGCGGCATTATCGCATTCCGCGTCTAACGGTAACGGATTTGCTCAGTTTGTGTCGCAAGATAGCTCTACGACGAGAAACCCGTTCGTCGCGACTCCGGAGGTGAACCCTTTCAATCCGCCAGGACGCAACGCCGGTGACTTGGGACTGAACTTGGGTGGGTCTAACCTGCTCTCACGTCTCAACGGGATGATGCCCACGCCGAATACGCAAGCGCCAATCCCGGATTATCCAGACGCAGAAACACCCACATCGTATGGGCAGAAGATCTCGGATGATGACATCATGATGGGGAATGCAGGCGGCACTTTGGGAAAGGAGGTCCTCGTGGAGGCCCCGCAAGCCCCAGGGCGAAGACAGCGGCCGCCGGCCTCTAGTACAGCAGACGACCCCCCAAGGATGCGCTCCATCACTTCTCGTGTACGATTAAAAATGGGCTCAGAGCCGGAGCAGACCGAGATACCACGGCCAGTCGCTCAGAACGGGCATAAGCGGACAGTGTCCGGCCAGTCAACACACCAAGCGCAGCAACCGTCTGCACCCCAAGCACCCCCAGATCCAACCGCCGCCCCGCCACGACGGAGCGCAAGGTTATTGCACTCTATCAGTAGCCAGATGCGCCCTTCGAGCAGTAAGTTGGCAGCGACATCAAGCTCGAGCTCCGAAGTAAGGGAGCGGCGTGAGCTGAGGAAGATGAAGGCTACAACGACCAAGGGCAAGGTGGGCGTTCAGCAATTGAGCAGAGCAGTCAGCGGCAGCAGAAAGGTGCAGTCGGTGGATAATGTCGACCAGGCGGGTAAGCAAGAGCCACGCCAAACTATCTCGGCTTCGACGTTAGCTGGGCCGCCTCCGAAGATGAATGCGCTCAACGAGGCAAATCGGGACAAGGAGTCATTGGAGTGGCTGCTTGAATTGCTACTTCGATTAGGAACTGGATATGCGCAGCTTTGCCGCTTTCAATGCGTACAAGCGCTCGAGACATTCCGATCGGTGCCGACCAAGCAGCGAGACACCCCCTGGGTGTTGGCACAAATGGGTAAAGCGCACTACGAACGGTCGCAATGGGCCGAAGCCGAGGAGCTCTTCAACATCATACGAGAAAAGGTGCCGACGCACATGGACGACATGGAAGTATTTTCGAACGTGCTCTGGCAGCTAAAGAAAGACACAGAGTTGTCATACCTCGCCCACACGCTCGTGGACCAGGATCGACTCTCCCCCCAAGCCTGGTGTGCTATCGGCAACGCCTTCTCCCTGCAGCGAGAACACGACCAAGCGATCAAATGCTTCACGCGAGCCACGCAATTAGATCCTCGCTTCGCCTATGCGTTCACCCTCCAAGGCCACGAACATGTCGCCAACGAGGAATACGACAAAGCGATGCACGCGTATCGTTGCGCCATCAGCGCGGATAGCCGGCATTACAACGGCTGGTACGGTCTCGGCCAGGTCTACGAGAAAATGGGCAAGTTTGAAGTCGCAGAAGAACACTACCGAGCCGCCGCGCAAATCAACCCGACCAACGCCCTCCTCGCCGTGAAAATCGGCTCAGTACGTCTCTTCTCCGTGATAACCCTCTCCCACCATACTGACCTTTTGTTCGTAGGTCCTCGACCGCATGCGCAAAACCGAACCGGCACTCATGCAATACGCGACGGCCGTAACACTGGACCCGCGCTCCAACCTCGCGCGCTTCCGAAAAGCGCACATCCATCTCAAACTCAACGACCCGGAAATGGCACTGAAAGATTTAGAATTCCTGCGTGACTCAGCGCCCGATGACGCAAATGTGCATTATTTGCTCGGTAGGACGTACAAGAAGGTGGGCCAGAAGGCGAGTGCGATCCGCCATTTTACGATTGCGTTGAACTTGGATCCAAAGGCGCAGATGTATATTAAAGAGGCGATGGAGAATTTGGATGAGGATGAGGAAGAGGGGGGTTGGGATAGTGAGGATGAGGGCTGAGGTGTAAGTGGACCTTGGAGGTGTTTGTGTTTGGAAGACGAGTGGGACTTGAGGAGAGACAAGGGAAAACTCAGTGCCGTGAGGTACAACCTCAATTGAGGACGAGCAAGGGGCAGAGAGTATCCCGCGTGTCCCCAAACATGCATCATAACTTATTCCCAGCAGCATATCAAACGCACACGGCAGTTTTTGTGTGTTGCAGTGAGAAAGAACTTGGGAGAGCACTATGCATTCTGTAGTCCGAGAGGCGTTTTTGGTTTCTTTGCTCTTATATCCCTGGTTTCGACCGATGCTTTCTCTGGAGTTTTTGCCGGTCGGTGCATTGCATTGCGGGATTACATCAGGGGGAACAAGGAAGGTGAGGAGATTGGAAGGAGATGGCGTAGGAGCTGGGTAGTGTAGGAGGAGATAGGGAAAGTTGAAAGTGAGATGTCATGTGGCTTTTTGACCTGTTGGATGATACGTGATGCTGTTACGATCACTGGCTATGAAGCGGACTTGACAGGTCACCACCCGAGCGGGGTAACGCCAGATGGGATTCTGTACCACGTAATCACGTGACCTACCATCGAGCCAAGACCTGCCCTCGACACCCTCGAGCGATGGCACACCCTCGAGCGATGGCACGCTTTCCCACGTAGTATATAGACCTCACAACAAACCCTTATGGATTTTTGTGTTCAACTTCAATCAAGTACTTCCTTAGTACACTTGGTTTTCAATCCACGATATCCTTTTCAGAAAGTCTACTCTTTACTGTCTTGATATCACCACCCGTGCAAAGAACCCTGACGCTCATCCCCGAGAACCAACCGAGATCCATACACGGTACTTCCATACCCGCTGGACCTTCACACTTGGTTTTCTGTGCTTTGCTGTAACATCGTTGGAAGGACTAATAAGAAGAATACTCTGGGGAAGAAAATGTATACCTAGGGTAAAGGAGAAAGTGTCCTAGATGTTTATATAGTGGACTGTTCTAGCAGTCCTAATCTGCCGTCTAGACTAGCAAGGCCGCTAGAGCTGCATAGTTAGGCAGACAGCTTGCGAGGGTGCTCCTAAGTAACTGTAATGTTGCGATCGGATCAATGCTTGTACACGTACTTCCAATCTTGCTGTTTCTGCGAATCTTGTGTTTCGATTCTTTAAGAAGTAAGTGACTAGTTGACGTTCAGATGTTCGGTCGTTCCCTTGGGTACCCTAAATTACGCGAGACCATTCACCCCGCCCACGGACACTTCGTCTCTCGCCTCGTTTGTGCGCCCTTACATATTTACAAACACAATTACCTTTCATCACTCAAAACACGGCCACGTGGCCCAATGGCAAGGCGCTTGACTACGATTCGAGCTTTAAATCCTCAAAGTCGTGAAATCAAGAGATTCCAGGTTCGACCCCTGGCGTGGTCAATTCTTTTCTTCTTCTTTTCTTTTTTGTAGTTTTGCTGCATCTGCAAGTAAGGGATGTTGGCCCAAATCCCTGGTTAGCTATGAAAGCATGGCTCGCATTTTATTTTGACGACGTACCGGCGAAAAACTCCGCTCAATCTCCTGGACCCACTGGCCAAGGCAAGACCTAGGGGCTAGGACGACGTCGAAGCTTCCTTCCCTTTGTTTTCAGCACTACCCGTTCGTGCTCGAGGGCGACCAGGGTCTCCATCGTTTTCCCTGTCCCCATCTTGGACGTGTTCAAGACGCCCCTCATGGGCCCAGTGCATGACCTGACCGTCTTCAACGCCCCAGCCGCTTGCTAGGGATGCAGCTCGACACCGGGCGCCATATGCGGGGTTTTCGGGATGAGTTGTGCATTGGCTGGGTCACGCAATTCTTTCTGCGGTATGTATCAGCATCCAACTGTGCGGCTTAGGTGCTGCTCTCCGTGACGTACAATCATGTCATCCCTTTGTGGACCAAGAAACTCAAATACGAGGACTTCGGTTCCGCCGGGGTAGACGACAATGCTAGGGCGTGGTTGAGGGGGCAGTGTCTCCTTCCTCGCGACCCTCACGCTTCACAGTCCAGTCTTTCTCGCGTACGGTCTTCTTCCTCCTCTTTCTCTTCATCTTCTTCATAGTCTTCTCCGACGGTGCGCTCTCTGTCTTGCTATTCTTCGTTTCCTGCTCCAACGTTGCATTTGCTTTCGTTTCGGCTGTGTCATCGGCTGCCTTCACATCGGCTTCTTGCTTGTCGAGCCAGTCATACAGACGCTCTTTGCAGGAGAGAACAAGCCTGATAAGCGGATCTGAGGCACACTACGTATACGCGCCTCTTTAGAACAACTTAACGTGTGTCGAATTATCCTTCGAGCCTGCACCCTCAACTTCTACCCTTTCCTTTAGTATTGAGATATTAGCTCCTGTTGCTTGTCGAGCTAGTCATACTGATGCCCCTTTGCGGGAGAGAACGCACCTGATGAGCAGATTTGAAGCACACTACGTATACGCGCCTCTATGGAACAACCTAAAGCATGTTAAAAGATCCTTCGAGTCTCTACCCTGAAATTCTACCCTTTCCTTTAGTATTCATATATTAGCTATTTCTAGCATAAAACTGACGAGATAAAAGCGCATATGATCAAAGGACGGGAGCTATAGGTGTGAAGATAGCGGATCTGATACACATTACGTATACGCGCCTCTTTGGAACAGCTTAAAGTATGTCGAAAATTCCTTCCAGTCTCTACCCAAAACTTCTAGCCTTTCCTTTGGTATCAAGATGTTAGCTATTTTTAGTATAAAACTGACGAGGTAAAAGCGCATATGATCAAAAAACAGCAGCGATAGGTGTAAAGATAATATAGTGTTACAGTACTCCAAATGCGTTATCTAGGGTAGCCACGCAGGAACAGTGTTAAGTGGTGCTTATATGGCAACTCGTGAGTTACTTCTGAACAAGTATCAATGCGGACGAATGATTCCCCATGCGCTGAAATCCCATCTCTCATCTGTTGTGAGCTCTAAAGTCTGCAGCGTTCTCCTCTCCCCAATTGCCGGCATATTCGCTATCGCTTACCCTTCGCAGGGGCACTTATGCAAGGCTGCATGTGGATATTCATAGTCGTCCTCACTTGTCAGGACCTCGCAGTGGCACTTCTGCAAGGCTGCAAGTTGATAATCATACTTATCCTCACCTCATGTGAAGACTGTCACAGCCAAGAGCACCCACGAAGTTGAGCTCGACCTTTGGGCACGAAACAGTCACCGCTCCGGAGAGCAAGGCGTACCATTTCCAGTCTCGCAGCGGCTGCTAAAAGGGTAAACTACCGCACAACACGACTGCGACCCGACAGTCTGGTTTGGTTCGCAACAAGACCACCGGGCAGGCTTAGACTAGCAGGTGCCGGCATCAGTGCTCAGTGAGAGCTGGATTGCCATGCAATGCACAGCCCATTCCCAGGATGAGGTTTTCGTGGTAGGCCTTGCGACGAGTGAGGTATGTAAAGGCTGCCTACGTGTTTCCCCTGTGGGGCCTGGTATAGATGATGCGGGATCATCAACCCTGGTACTGATGATGTGGAATCATGGACCTGGCTCTTTGTTGCAGGCACTAGGACCAGGTCGAGCTAAAGATTCGGGACTGTCAGAAATTGTGGCGGCGGGGGGATTACGAATATGGTGCCTGGCACGCTGACACCGATGGCAGGGAGAGTGTAGTTCTGTGTTGTACCCGTGGGCTGACATGTAGCAGTGCATGTATGTTGTGGCCGGGTACGGCGTCGTCGGTCGGACGCTAGAGAACAGGGTGTAGAACGATGCGTTGCGTATGTACCGATCCATGGAAAGTGCTTAGAGCTGAGGTGTTGAGCATGCATTTCGACAGGTCTGTTTGATCGGTCAGTGAGCAGATGCAGGGCAAATCTTAGTCACCTCATCTATTGAATACTTGACGCGGGGTTATCGAGATCGGCTTATTGTGAACACTGAGGCTTTGTCATCCTGCTCCGGTCACGATGGATATATCGTTCACCTTGGTGGTACTTCGCCTACCTTCATGGTGCGCTGAAGCGCGGCAGTGACTCTGTTGCCAGAGTAAGTCAGTGCTCAGGTGGTGTGACTCTTCCGCATGTGGCTCCACGTGTGGTAGATGAAGGGCTTGGAATCGGAGAAACCGGTCCATTGGCGGAGCGGAGTGAGGCCATACGGGAGGTCATGTCTTGGCGGTTTTGTTCTGCAGGGCGGGGTGAGCGGAGCTGCGTCGGGTGGCTGAGAAGAGTGCGTCAAGGCCGCAGATGCCAGGCTGCACTGTGAATATTGGATCAGAGAGCTGCAATAGAACCATGGAAGCACTGTCGGACTGACCGGTATGGCACGAGCGGGAATGTGCCCAATGTGGAGGGTGCGCCGTTCTGCAGGATGAGGGAAGATAAAGGAAAAGTTGGTATCAGTGCACTCAGCGTCACTGTAATCAGAGACAGTTGGACAAGTTGAGCATGTTGGGGACCAGAGTTTGGAGGGCAGGGTGTAGGTGGCTTCGGAAGAGAAACCGGACGCTATGCCCCTTCGAGCACGGATAGTAGGCGCGCTTCTAGAAGAAGAAAGAGACCCTGACAGCCAACACCAAGCCTCAAAGTCGGAGCCTTCCCAACACCTGCACACCAGAGCCGACCGGAAATACGAACGCTCACCGCTCGGTTGCACGGCCGCACGGGAATGCCATGCAGTACTCAATACGAAACTCTGCTTAAACAGGAGCCTTCAGTGGTAGTCCGGCTCGTACCTGCACGCGGTTGTTGGGATAGGCATTTCCTCGACCAATACATAACGGGGCTCAGAATAGCTGAAGATAGCCATCCGCGTTTCATGCAGATGAAAAACTGCCAAACCCGCACGGCTACTGTTAGCGCTACGGCATGCCTTTCATCAAGGGTATCCAGATCAATGCTCCAAGAACCTCGGCAATGTTCTCAACAGGCCCTCGGGCGGTCTCCGTGTGTTGGATCAGCGTGTCTATGGATTCGCGACTCCGTTCCTCTCACCTGGAATCTGCAGGGGCCCGGGTATGCGGCCAGCCAGACCGAGATTGTCAGCTCGAAATGACTGAGAGATCCTGAAGTGATTTTGAATTCCACGACGATAGGAGTGTTGGACCTATACACAAGGGGATAAATACGCTCGTTCGACCTGCTGCGTTCTCCAGGTTCGTGGCGCCGCTGGAGGCTTTCGCCATTTTCGTGAAAAGCTTGGTCCGGGTGATTGGCGGCAAGGATCACGCACTGGACATGATCGAGTCTGCGGCTGGTGGCGCAATCCAGTATGTGGTTGCACAAATCCAAGCGGCGGTCCCAGGTTGAGACATGGTACCCATGAGGGGCAGGGTGGCTGACCACGTTCATCCTTCCCGCCGGAGCCTTGCAGGAGAGAAAAGCTTATGGAGAGTGGCGCAGAACATCGAGCAGACGTCACCCTTCAGCGCCAACATCGTGTTGTAAGGCGAGATATGCCGTGCTAACAATATCACATTGTCGACACATCGTCTGACGCGATAGGGCTACCCATGCTAACGCAACTGCCGCGAGTGTTGAGATGACCTTGGTCGCTGTTGTGCCACAGGACATGCGAGTGAGCATCCTGGCAGATTAAACACTTCGTCGGAGCTTTTGCAGGGTGTCACAGCAGCGGTGCACTTCATTGTTGAGAACAAGAATCATGAGATCATTGATTTGGAAATCGTAGACTTTGGTAGACCCACATTACCCAACCGATGAAGTGCTCAGTGTAAAACTCAGGGAAGATGCGACAACGTTACGAAATAGTGCGAACTCAAATCCGGCCGAAACCAATATGACCTCCGAGGTTTCTGCAAGGAGTGACGGATGCCCTCGGGGTAACCGTCGTTGTTCGGGTAAATGTAGCACGAATGGTGATAGTAGATGTGACGGTGGTATAAGCAAATGCAAGTTGCGTACGAGTCGGAGTTGGTAGAGTGATGGTCTTGGTGGTAACTCCGTTGATGACGGTTGCAGGGGGAAGGGTCGACGTGGAGGTGGTCGTAAGCAAAGTGGTTTCTGTGCTGGTGACAGGGGGGGCAGTGATGGTGACGGTGGTGCTGTCAGGCGTCGATGCAGTAAGAGTGCTCGTCGGCGCATCTGGAGCACGCTCTTGCAGACGAGGAGCGTCGGCCTTAAGGTCGCGCTTCAGCTTAGCAGCCTCAATTCGGTTTCGAGCATACTCGTAATCAATTGCACGATCGGTCCTGCGCATGTAGCGCTGTTTCCTGGGGGCAGGGGTCGGGGTCTCCAAAGCTGCGGGATGTATCTTGGTGGGAGAGTATGTGCAAGGCTTGTCTCGCTTGCCGCCACGGGGAATAGTGCAAGTAGCGGTGACCGTCTTGGTGCTCACACTGAGCTCATGGGTCCATGTGTAGATGGGACGAGTGAAGGTCTTGGTGATCTTGGTGGTCACAGGCTTGGG